CTTAGATATTTGGATCATTTCTTTTTAATTATGAGCAGAATTATACAGAAGGGAACCCAAAGAAAGAGAAATTAAGCTGATGTGTACTTTTATTTGACTACAATTTGCTCCTGATGTATAAAACCAGGCTGAAGCCATCAGCATTACCTACATCTAAAATTTAACTCTCACAATGATGCTTTTGGCTTGGTAGGAACATTTGCTTTTAAAAAACGAATACTTTCTTTCTGGCTTACTTCACTCTATATAATGGGCTCCAGTTTCATCCATCTCATTAGAACTGATTCAAATGAATTCTTTTTAATGGCTGAGTAATATTCCATGGTGTATATGTACCACAGCTTCCTTATCCATTTGTCTGCTGTGGGAGAAGGCGAGGGTGGGATGTTTCAAGAGAACAGCATTGAAACATGTATATTATCTAGGGTGAAACAGATCACCAGCCCAGGTTGGATGCATGAGACAAGTGCTCGGGCCTGGTGCACTGGGAAGACCCAGAGGGATCGGGTGGAGAGGGAGGTGGGAGGGGGGACCGGGATGGGGAATACATGTAAATCCATGGCTAATTCATTTCAGTGTATGACAAAAACCACTGCAATGCTGTAAAGTAATTAGCCTCCAACTAATAAAAATAAATGAAAAAAAAATATAAAAAAAGAATGTTTTCTATTCCCTTAGTCATTCTGAAATTAAAATCAGCTTAGTTTTAAAAATATATAAATGTCATCAAATTTTGTGATGACCATGAGTCTTATTTCATGGAGAATATGCATGCATTTGGAAGTGATCTTGACCTTTCCCCTCCTTACCTACTGCCTCTGTGCTCATACACTCTGGCTTCCTCATCATTTCAAACCCTCTTGTCTCCTCCCTTGCCTGTACCATCAGGATCTCTCTATGCCATCATTTCCATCAGAAAATAAACATGATATCCTATCTCCCACCTTTGGAAATTTTCTCTAAATCCTTATAGTGGCACTGCCTTTCCCTGTCCTACAGTCTAGCAAAACCCTTCCACTTCACCTTTCAGTCTCTCAAAAAAGTACACAATCAGGCTTTTGTCTCCATCACTCCACTGAAACTACAGTCCTCAAAGAAAGCGTTAGTTGCTCAGTTGTGTCTGACTCTTGGCAACCCAATGGACTGTAGCCTGCCAGGCTCCTCTGTCCGTGGGATTCTCCAGGCAAGAATACTGGAGTGGGTTGCCATTTCCTTCAGGACTTCCTCCTATCACCAAAGACTTCTACAAGGCCAAGTCCAGTGTAGAGTCCCAGTCCTCCTCTGACCTGGTCTAGCAACTGCATTGACAGCTGATGACGCCTGCCTTCATGAAACATCTCCATTCAGCTTCCGGGACATCGCCTTCTTCCACCTCCCTGGCCACTCCTTCTCAGTTTCTTCTGCTGATCATTTCTCTTCCTTTTCCTGACCCTCAAATATCAGGATCCAAGGCTCAGTCTTCATCTCTCTTTTCTCTCCACACTTTCTCACTTGCATATCCTTCCATTTCTGTGGAAATATGTCAACGTGTCCCAAGTTTATATCATAAACTTGGATAAACATAAATAGCTTCCCCTCTTAGCTCCAAATACATGCATGTAACTGCCTACTTGACATATCTACTTCCGCATATAATAGACACTTCTCAGCATGGACTGTATAAAATAAGCACTTGTGCTTCGCATTCCTGCCAGCCCCTTACCACCCCATCATTCTTTAGTTTCTCCAATCTCAGGAAATACTACTATTTACCCAGTTGTTAGGGCCCAAATCCCAGAAGATATCTCTACTCCTCTCTTTTTTTCATATGCTATGTCCAAAAGTGTCAGTTCTACCTCTGAAATAAGCGCCTAATGGGAGTACGTCAAGGCTGTATATTGTCACCCTGCTTATGTAACTTATACGCAGAGTACATCATGAGAAATGCTGGGCTGGAAGAAGCACAAGCTGGAATCAAGATTGCTGGGAGAAATATCAGTAACCTCAAATATGCAGATGACACTACCCTTATGGCAGAAAGTAAAGAAGAACTAGAGAGCCTCTTGATGAAAGAGGGAATGAAAAAGTTGACTTAAAGCTCAACATTCAGAAAACTAAGATCATGGCATCCAGTCCCATCACTTCATGGGAAATAGGTGGGGAAACAGTGGCTGACTTTATTTTTGGGGGGCTCCAAAATCACTGCAGATGGTGATTGCAGTCATGAAATTAAAAGACGCTTACTCCTTGGAAGGAAAGTTATGACCAACCTAGATAACGTATTAAAAAGCAGAGACATTACTTTGTAAACAAAGGTCTGTCTAGTCAATGCTATGGTTTTTCCAATAGTCATGTATGGATGTGAGAGTTGGACTATAAAGAAAGCTGAGCGCAAAAGAATTGATGCTTTTGAACTGTGGTGTTGGAGAAGACTCTTGAGAGTCCCTTGGACTACAAGGAGATCCACCCAGTACATCCTAAAGGAACTCAGTCCTGGGTGTTCATTGGAAGGACTGATGTTGAAGCTGAAACTCCAATACTTGGCCACCTGATGTAAAGAGCTGACTCATTTGAAAAGACCCTGATGCTGGGAAAGATTGAGGGCAGGAGGAGAAGGGGACGACAGAGGATGAGATGGTTGGATGGCATCACTGACTCAATGGACATGAGTTTGGGAGTTGGCGATGGGCAGGGAGGCCTGGCATGCTGCAGTTCATGGGAGTGAAAAGAGTTGGACATGACTGAGTGACTGAACTGAACTGGGATCACTTTGAAGCGTGCCCACCTGTCTTACCTGAGTACAGGGCTTCCCCACCTTCCCCCCTTGATGTCTCCAACAGTCTCCTAAGTGGTCTCCCTGTTTCAGCTCTTATCTGGGAAACAGCCCTCACTCCTCTCAGCAGCCAGAACCATCCTTTCAAAATATAAGACCAGCCACTCACCTGCTAAAGCCCCTCTGATCGGATGACTTCCCATCACAATTAGAATAATACACAAATTCTACTTTGGCCTAAAAGATAGGTCAGGTTCCTTGCCAGCTCTGCACTGGCTATTCCCTCTGCTCAGAAAATGCTTCCTCCCAGACTTTGCAAAGCTTGCTCCTCACTTCAGTCAGGTCTCTGCTCAAATATCACCTCTTCAGAGAGGACTTTCCATGCCACTCACATTGTCATCTCAGTCTCTATCTTATTGTCCTGTTTATTTTTAAAATAGCGCTTGTTAATCCTTGACTTTTAAAGGTATATTTGTTTGTTTTTGTCTATTTCCCCCCAAAGATTGCAAACATCTCAGTACAAGGACTTTTCTGCCTTGTTCACCCTAAGGGTCTAGAACAAGGGCTTAATAAATACAGTACTTGACAGGTGAACAGATGCATAACTAAATGTTCAAACTTCAGGAGGAAGGAATGAATGGGATGCAGACGATAGGTAAGGAAGCAGTGGCTCAGGTAAAGAAGGTTGTATGCTGCTACTGCTAAGTCACTTCAGTCGTGTCCGACTCTGTGCGACCCCATAGACGGCAGCTCACCAGGCTCCCCCGTCCCTGGGATTCTCCAGGCAAGAACACTGGAGTGGGTTGCCATTTCCTTCTCCAAAAGAAGGTTGTATAAATACAATCAAAGCTGTGATGTCATTCTAGGAGCAGAGAACGCAATAATGATGAAAGGCCAGGGAATGGACTTGAAAGGGCCTCTCAAGCAGCTGTGTTGGGTAGAAATTTCTGCAGTGATGGAAATACTCTATATCTCTGCTGTTCAAAGCAGTAGCTGCTGGCCACATGTGGCTACCGAACACCTGAAATGGTCCAGTGGGACTAAGCAACTGAATACTAATTTTCTTTAATTTTAACTTACATTCAATAGATACATGGGGCTAGTGGTTATGATAGTAGACAGCAAAGCTTTAAAACCTGAATAATTCCTTCCCCTGACTTATGATTTTGGGATAATAACATATACCTCACTTAGTTATTGAAAGGACTAATGATATCAAATTGTCAATGTCTGAAACATAGTCAGCCCTCAAAAAATGACAGCTGCAATGAACACACAGTGTTGCCAATAAAAGGACTTTCAGTACATGCCATGTAAATTGACCCTAAAGTACAGAAAGGCTTTTATGACTTTTTACTGTAATTTTTTGTTTGCTTGAGCTAGTGGATAACCAATGTGTGTGGGTCTACATTGGAGCTCACAAACTAAAAATAGTAAATAACCATTCTGGGTTGTCAGGAAGGCCTACCAGAGGTAAATGATGAATCCAAGTGCATCAGCTAGCTGACACTTATAATGAACTAATTCGTTTTGACAACAGCTCATTCAGCATTTGCGAAAATTGGATCTGTAACATTACTGTTTACTTTAATACTTAGTAATAAAATAAAGGGGAATGTATTTACTTATTGGAAACAGTATATTGAATTCTTTAAAGGTTAAACTGTTTTGGAGATATATTTTTTTCTTGCCAGTAGCTCATTACGGTTTCTTCCACACAGAATCCAGAAAACAAAATGAACACAGATATAGAACATAAGCAGACCATTTTCACTAACCCTTAGGAATAATCTAATCTAATAATCAAATTGCACAAGTTTGTTCAGGATAAGCATCAGTCTTATTTTTAGGCCAAGAGAATTTGCAGTCCACAGCAGCAGAGGTGAAAGTGAAATTCCATTGCCCCTGCCTAATTGCCTGGTGGAGGAGACTCAGAGACTTGAAATCCAAGGATGGATGTTTTTAAGTTAAACACAGGCTTAAAAGCATTAACAGAAGCTGATGTTCTTATTAGGAAGACCAATTAATCTGCATCGATGGGAAACCACTTTGCAGGAGTCGAAAAAGTGCCCTAGTACCGAATATAAGTGATACTGGAGCAGAAAGGGAATGAAAATGTATTTTTCTACAGGGAAGTCTTTCCTAACTGCCCTCCTAGCTTTGCCGTTTGAAATGCAGATCCTTTCTCGTCTACCCATGACTGTGAGTCTAGGATAGCAGAAGGGGAAGAGCTGATGTAAAGACTTACCAATAGGCATCACTAAGAAAAAAGGCAGCCAGCAGAGGACGAAGCAGCCGACCACGATGCCCAGCGTTTTGGCCGCTTTCTTCTCGCGGGAAAATTTGAGCAGTCTCACGGAGAAGTGCGTCTTGTTCTTCGCGCTGGTCACCCCGCTGCCTCTTACCTGGGCGTTTTTGCGATGGATGCGGAGGGTCACCTGCTCCGAGTCTGACTTGTCGGTCTTAAGGCCCGACTTGAGGCCCCGGCTCTCCCTCTTGGCCACCACGTAGACCCGGCAGTACATGACCAGGATGATGGTCAGTGGCACGTAGAAGGAGCCCAGAGCCGAGAAGAGCACGTAGCCCGGCTCCTCGTTGATCTGGCAGATGGTCTCGTCCTCCGGGGCCGGCTGCCTCCAGCCGAAGAGGGGCCCGATGGAGATGACCAAAGAGAGCGCCCAGACGCAGAGCAGGGCCATGAGGCCCCTCTTCTGGGTGACGATGGTGGGGTAGCGCAGAGGATAGCTCACGCCGATGTAGCGGTCAATGGAGATGATGCAGAGTCCCATGATGGAAGCCGTGCAGCACAGGACGTCCACCGCCGCCCAGACATTGCAGAAGACCCTGCCGAAGGCCCAGTAGCCCAAGATCTCGAAGATAGCGGAGAAGGGCAGCACCGTGGAAGTGAGGAGAAGGTCGGCCACCGCCAGGTTGACGATGTAGTAGTGTGTGACCGAGTGCAGGTGCCGGTGGCAGGCCACGGAAAGGATCACGAGGATGTTCCCCAGCACCCCGAAAAGGATGAGGCCCCCCAAGATCACCCCGAGCAGAATGGCCTTGGAAATATTCACCGGTGGCGGCGGGTGGGTGCAGTTGGAGCTGTCGGAGGCATTTCCGGAGAGAAACACCATGGTCCCAGCCCCCCGGGGCCGGGGCCGGCTCTCGAGGGCCACCCCTCGGCGGGAGCGGAAGACGGGAGCGAGGGAGCGGGGAGTCAAAAGCTCTCGGCTCCCAAGAGCCTCGTCTGCTGGGGTTGTCTGGGGGTAAGAGAGAACGTGCAGCGAGGAAGCAACCCCGGCCAGCCCGGGAAACCCTCAGTAGGCCACGCAAAGGGGTAGGGCTTTACAGGCGACATGGCCAGGGGCGCGCGGAGCAGCCAGCCGATCCTCTCCACCCGCAGGGCTGGCCCAGGGCCCCGGCTCCCTCCCTATCACGGAACTCGGGAAGACGCGGTGCAAAATGCGATCCCAGAATTATGGGAGTCCCCTTTCCTGCACTGTCCGCTCCGTCCGGGTGAGAAGCTTGAGCATTCTACACATAATTGGAATTCAAAACTCCAGTCTCCCCCCACAAACCACAAGCAAGTACTGGTCTGCCGTCGACTCTCAAAGGCGGGGACCGTTGGCATCTGGGCGCTTCTCCCCACCCGCAGTTACACTCGGTGTGGCTGGATTCATGATAGATCGCGCAGGCCGAGGGGAAACGCGGATGTGAAATGTTCACCAAGAGCGAGATGGCTGCGGAGCGTAGTTTGCCAGCGTTGTCCTGAAAGAGCGCAAAGAAATGCAAGTGTAAGCCAGCCGTCCCGGGAAGCGAGGCCGTGCTAGACGCGGGGTCTGACCGGGCCGGGGGCCCCGCCGACTCTGAGATCCCGAAGCTACCCGTCCTGCCGCAGCCCAGCGCGCGGGAGGGGACCGCGAGCCGTGACCCGCCGCTGGGCACCTGCCCTGGCGCGCTCCTCCTCGCGGCCTCTGGCGGTGTTCAAGGACCGAGGCAAACACACCCCAAGCTCCAGCACGGCCGGCGTGAAATTAAGCTATGAAATTAAATTAATTTAAATCTAGCCTGAAATTAAAATCTAGCCCGAGTGGTGCGATTTGAGGCTGAAGGGTCTGCCGCGCCGAGCCAAGCTGGTGGAAACCCGGAGAATCTACCCGGTGGCCACTTGCACAGGTTGCTTCGCAGTCACCTGGAGGGGGCGGCCTGGGAGAGGGAGCCGCCGAGACCCGGGGACCGCAGAGGCAGTGCCACGGGCACGCTCACGCCAGAGGAATTCACACTTGAGTGTGCGGAGCGCGCCGGTGTGTCGACCAGCCAAGCCGGCCTGAAAGCCGGGTCCAGAGTAGAGCTCTGGGGACCCAACGAGGGCTGAACCCGACTCTCAGGTCCGAGAGTCCTTTCCGAGCCACAGGATCAGAGGTCCCGGAGGACTCGAGCCTCTAGCCACGCCCAGGAGGGCCCTGGGGGTTCCGGGGAGGAGTGGGAGCAGGGAGCACCGCTCAGCCTAAGGGGCTTTGTCGGCGGCAGTCACTGCGGATTTTGTAGGCGTAAAAATCAAGTCCGCGAGCCGGCGGCCAGGGGACGCCTCGTATTTATTTTCCGAGCCGGGGGCCACCGTCTGCGTAAGAAAGCTAGATTTCCATAGCTGCGAGCCGACCACAGGGACTCCGGTGGGAATGCGGGGGAGTGGGGACCCACCTTGCGGATGGGCCCGGAGGCGGGATTCCCTCAGCAAAGGCTTCTGTGAAAATCCCAAGTTCTAGAGCTCACAGGTGATAACAGAACGCAAGCAACTGCAGAAATCCGTTCCCCCTTACCGCGGAGCGATAAATACGCTGTTAAAAACACACTTGTTAACTAGGAGATAAGTTCCCAGAATACAGGAGGGAAACGCGGTGGGGTGGGGAAAGCGGGTGAAAGACGGAGCAGGAGCTTGGGGAAAGTGCGAGTAGGGTCTCGCCTGGAGGCCCCGGGAGGTTTGCCCTCACCCGCCCGGCCCCGCAGCGCACTCACCTGGAGCGCGGATGCAGAGCCACTGGCGCGCGCGCGGCGAGAAGTGGGGCGGCCCGCGGTCCCCGGAGCAACTCCGCCGCCTCCTCCCTGCGGGGAGAGGGGACCGTCTCTCCCACCAAACAGTTCCCGGTCGTTTTGCACCCGCTGACTCACCCCTCTACCAGAGACGTCTTTAAGGTCCTGGCTCACAGACGCTTTACCTGGAGATTTTAACAATAAAGAAAACAGAAAAAAGGGGGGGAAATGCAGTCAAGCAATAACTCCACCTTCACCCTTTTAATATTCAGCTCCCCTACATCAGCAAAGACTGGCAAGGAACTTTGCGGCTCTCGCTGACGTAACACAGTCAGTAGCCCCGGCTAGTACCGTAATCTCCTGCTGTTACCGTATTACTCGGCGGTAATAGGCCCTTTGCGCCCACTAGATTTTGTTTTGTTTTGTTTTGTTTTTTAATTTTTGGCTTTTGCCTTTTGCCTTGAGTGAATTAGGTTCTCGCTTTCCTTTAAGAAAGTGTGAGGGGGGAGGAGGAAGCGGGGAGAAGGGATTTTTTTTTAATTTGTAGTAAATAACTTCTTTACATGATCTGATTTTAAAAATAAAGAAAAATAGACCTTTGCCAGACAAGTATTACGGTGTGTATGATGTGTTCAAAGAAGTGCCCAGTAGATTTACTTTTGAACAGATTGATTCAATTAACGCTTGGACTATGTTCTGTTAAAATCTAAAAGAAGCGTATTATTATGCCAAATATGCAGGTGAATTTTATTATTTGCAGATATTTTAAGAAGACTGTAAAATCAGATAAATTTCAATAAATCTGATTGTAATAAAATTATAATTCCAGAAGAATAAAGTGAGCATATCTAAACCTTTTGAACTATGATTCACTTCTCATTTCTGCAGACTAATGGATTAAGAAAGCATGTTGGTTCCACTGCAGTTTCTTACACAGCTTAGTGTTTTTAAAGTGCTGTTTATTATTTTCAGTTTCCATAAGAAAATATATCCTTTAAAAGAGTGCTGTTGTTTAGTCACTAAGTTGTGTCTGACTCTTTTGTGACTCCATGGACTGTAGCCTGCCAGGCTACTCTGTCCATAGGATTTCCCAGGCAAGAGTGCTGAAGTGGGTTGCTATTTCCTCCTCCAGGGGATCTTCTTGACTCAGGAATCAAATCCGTGTCTCTTGTGTCTCCTGTATTGGCAGGCGGATTCTTTACCACTGGTGTCACCTGGGAAGTGTGCCCCCCGCCCACTGCCCCACATGAAAGATATTACTTCTCTTTAATTTTCTTATTGAAAGAGTAATTAGAGTTTGAATAGTTGACATTGCCAGTCTTACTTACTTTTTTTTTTTCTGATAAATCCCATGTGCTTTTTACCTTACAGTTGAATGAAGTCATCTGTGTTTTGGAATATTGGGAAAATGCCAGAATTTTCTCCATTCTTGATTCCCATCGCCTAAGTCCCCTCCTTTCATTTTTATTGATTCAGACAAAACACTCTGTTTGTAAAATATAGTAGTTTCTGTTAAATCTAGTAACAGAGAAGTAAGGACTTGAATTCCCTCCCCTTAACAGAAGTTTATTATTACCTTTTTCAAGGGAAATGTTTGGAAGACTTTTATCATACCTCAGAATGTCTCCTAGAAATGCCCTCAGGAAGATCAGGGGAGGAGGAAGCAGGGAGAAGGGATTTTTTTGCTTCATCCAAGACCTAATATATAGATGACCTCTTTCTTAAAAAGAATGCCATTCTACCCCCACATCTACAGGGGTGGTACCGACACTTACCTGGAGAAGAAAATGGCGACCCACTCCAGTATTCTTGCCCGGAGAATCCCATGGACAGAGGGGCCTGGCAGACTAAAAGTCCATGAGGTTGCAGAGCTTGACACGACTTAGAGACTCAACAACAACAATAACAAACAACAACTGACACTTACTGTGTTTAATTAGACTTTGATACTATTTGATTAATTTTTGGCTTGACTTTAATATTATTTTAAAAATGAACACACAAATGGCTCTTTCATTCACAAACTGAATTCTGTGTTGGAGAAGCAGACATGAGAGGAGACAGGAAATCTTGGTTTGCTCTCATCCTTAAGTCACTTGCTCTCTGAGATGTAGTCCCCTGGGTTGGAAAGGCTGTATCAGTTCCCTGAGACTCCTACATCTTATCATCCAATATGTATACAATGTCTGTTCTTCAGAAATCCCACCCACCAGAGGACTATATTACTATTTAGTTTCTTATCCATTAACCTTTCAGCATGAATGCAAGCTTTCTGGTAAGATCTGTTCCATGATAGATAAGGAAATAGTGTAATCAAGAAGAGCAAGTAAAAATTGCTCAACTCTGCAGGGTCAAAATGTACAAAGACTTTGGAACTCTCAATCTCCCACCCCTAACTAACAAGCATACTCACAATCCCAGCCCCCTCAACCAGGTAACCCATGCCAGCTCTTTATTTCCAGCTTGGCCCCTGGATGGTGCCAGGTAAGTCTTTCAAATCTGCTTCTAAACCTGTGAACATCAACATTTGCTAAACTAACTTTCAGAACCAATCTTTCCGTGGCTTATCACAGACTGGCTAATAGGAAACTATTCATCTCCTTAAAGAATGGTTGACATGGATGCCCCAGAAGATGTTCAGTGAGATCCATGAAGGGTGGAGTAAGGTCAGAGTAGGCTGTGAAGTGGTAAAGGTCTGTTCCTGCCCTCCTGTGAGACCAGGATGAAACTCACTTTCACTTTTTAACTCTGGAGACAGTTAAGAAAGATTGGAAAACAGATTGGGGAAAACTGCTATTTGCTTATAGGAAATCTGTAAGTACAGGAATATCAGGACATCACAATAGTGCATTCAGCTGCCTCAAGCCTCAATAATGTGCAGCATATCCAGAAAAACAAATCTCCTGGGCAAATCTTCACATGTGCTGTGGGCTGAAGCCTTCATTCCTATGCAACAGTGGTACACAGTGCATGATGACTTCTGCTTTTCTTTTCCTTTCAGAACTTCCACAGGAATTCCTCTCATTGGTAGACTATAACCCCAAATCTGGCTAGCAGAGAGTCTTCCATCCATTGGAATGCAGAGAAGAACATAGAGAAGGAAAAATAATTCTAAGTGGCTGATGGATAAGTTGGTATAATGTCCACTGGTCATTTTTATAGTGGTGTTTCCCCTTTTTGTCTCATTGGTTTGTAAGTACTCTTTACACATTATGGCAGCCCTGAAAATGTGCTGTCAAGATCTCCTGATGCATAACTGACTGACAGTCCCACATTTTGTCCTTCTGGATCCATCCCTGTGCTCATGCTATACTTCCTACAGGCTACTCCCAACCAGTGGCTAAGCATAGAAAAGGTTCTAATGCAGGCCTGTTACTATAAGACCTGGGATTTCCTGAATGGGGGACTTTGTCTCATGTGCTCCTCATTGGCTGGCCAAAACTTTCTTCTAACTGTGCAACAGTCTGATATATTTCTTTCCCAGTACTTCTTCCCTTTCACAGAATTCTGACTTAGATCATAGTTGGAAGGCTCTCTTTCTTCAACTTTCTTTTTCCTTCACAGGAATTTTCCCCTTATATCTTTTGCATGATTAATTATGTCTTGGTGTCTGTTTACTGGGGTACAAAATTAACATATATATTAAGGATGTCAGCCCTTTGTGATATATGTTGAAATGAAATGTATATGATATATGATATAAATGATATATATATCAATTATATATGATACAAATGATATATAAATGATATATGATATGAAATATATATATATTTCTTCCAGTCACAGATATTTAAAGGAAAACACCTCATGAATTTATATATACATATGAATTCTTAAATAAAACATAAAGAATAGAATTTTTGAAAAAATTGACAAATTTCCATCAATATTCAGTACTTTTCAGTTTGATAAAAGATACAAAAGGGCAAGATTAAAGTATAACTTTAATTGGGAGCAAATATTGTAAAATGTATAACACAATAAAATTATTTTCTGGAGTATATATGTTCTACTGTCTAACCTTTGTCATTTCTGAAAAGTCAGACAAATTTATATCATTTTGTCACTGTAGATAGTATATAGTTTTTGTTTTCTAACTGATTCACATTGGTCAGCTGATGAAAATGTGACCAGAGGCTTGCAGAAACCTAACCCTGAATTTCCCAGGAATGGTTCCATACTCACTAATTCAGTGTTTACAGTGACTGTATAGAACATAACTACCATAAGTGTGAATAAACTGTGTATGTCTGGGTATGTCCGTACACACACACATACACAGTGTGCATATGCACATGTATGTAGATAATCCAGAATTTATAATTGTTATATGCAGGATTA